AAGTATTTTAAAATATAAAAACATACAGTTCCATATTGTTTATTTTATTTATATATATATATATATATATATATATATATATAATTATTTTTTACATACTCCTGATATTTTATGATCTACTCTTACTTTTTAAAATATAGAAATGTATAAGTGTAGCATTTATATACATGAAGACTGTGCATACATTAGATACTGAATAATTTATGGGTTACAATGATGAAGGACCTTGTCTTGTCTGCATGCTCTCCTTGCTGGACCAGATATGTTCTGGATTGGTTCAATTCATGGTAATGATACACTATGATCCAAAGATGAAGCTTTATAAAAGGTCAAATGGTCTACGGTGAATTGAGATGCAGAAAGGTAACCTGCCTTCTTGAATGCATTTCGGTAATATCGGGGAACTTTCAAACTTTTTCCTAACACTACATAAAAAAGTTTTTTTGTTTTGTTTTGCATTGACCAAGTAAAAAATAATAAATAGACAACAGATAATTTTTTTCCTTTTCAAAAATACTTGTCTTAGAGTAGAAGGCAAATTCGGCCAAACAGAGGGGGGAAATAGACCCAGTGCACTTAACAGTCACTCAGAGAGGTGAAAAAAATGGGGGGTTGGGGGGGAATGAATTGGGTATCGATTAAAGTGCCAAGTAAATGTAGGAAGTGATTTCATGTAGTAATTTCACAAATGCAGAACACATATATAGAGATGTAAAATAAAATATCAGAGAGATAAAAGTGCACAGCTTATCAATCACCAATACTTGTGATGGTCAGACAGGCAAAATAAAGCTCACAGCTCAATAGCTATGAGTTTCTGTACAATGCAGCCTCCTGCGAATGAAATGGAGATGCCACAACAACACAGAGGGCAGCTATTAAACACATGGAAAGGTACACAAACATCACAGTAACAAAAATAATGCTAGTTTCAGTAATATGTTTGGTCCTACATAAAAATGATGAAATACATTCTGGTTTCAGCAACGCTGTTCTTTTCAATGAGGCAGTCAAGTAAAAGAATTTAGCTGTAACTGATTACCTGACACATACTTCCCGTCAATTATTTTACATCTTGAACACATGAAGCATAATCCTCATGAAAACAGTTGTCAGAGACAAAGCACATGTAGGTCATGCTTTTTTTATACAGGAAATTTACACGGTGCAATCAGATCCCTTACAAGAGGAATCCCTTGAGGACAATCGAAACGGTTTTCATGCATTAACTGCTTCTCGTTTTTTCCCTTTTTGCTGACAACAGACAAAGCAATCCATGTAACGAGTAAAATTCAGCTGCACGGACTCAGAACCCACAGATGCTGTAAAAGCCGTACATCTGTTTGAGCCTTTTCTTTTCTTT